TTCGGCCTTTGCTTTCGAAATTTGCAGACGTGTTCCCAGATGATATTCCCTCCGGTTTACCACCACTTCGGGACATTCAGCATAGTATTGACTTGGTCCCAAGGGCTTCGCTACCGAATAGGCCTCATTACCGGATGAGTCCTATGGAGCATGAGGAGCTTCGTCGCTAAGTGGAGGAACTTCTCCACAGAGGAGTAGTGCGTCGTAGTATGAGCCCGTGTGCTGTTCCGGCACTCCTCATCTCGAAGAAAGACAGTTCTTGGCGTATGTGTGTTGATAGCCGTGCGATCAACAAGATCACGGTTCGTTATCGTTTTCCGATTCCGAGGTTAGACGACTTGTTGGATCAACTGCATGGTGCCACTGTCTTCACGAAGTTGGATCTCCGTAGCGGCTATCATCAAATTCGAATCCGACCGGGAGATGAGTGAAAGACGGCGTTTAAAATACGTGAAGGGTTATTCGAGTGGATGGTGATGCCGTTTGGGCTTTCTAATGCACCGAGTACATTCATGCGAGTGATGAATCAGGCGCTTCGGGACTTTATCGGGCAGTGTGTCGTCATTTATTTCGACGACATTCTTATTTACAGTCGTTCGGTGGAGGAGCATTTGAAGCATGTTCGGTCAGTCCTCCTTGTGCTGAGAGCGGAGTCATTTTTTGCTGCCCCACGTAAGTGTTCCTTCCTGGTTGATTCTGTTTTGTTTTGGGCTTTGTGATTGCGGCGGATGGAATTCGTGTGGATGAGAGCAAGGTGAGTGCTATTCGTGACTGGCCCACACCGACTTCCTTCACGGAGGCTCGGAGTTCTCATGACCTCGCCTCATTCTATCGTCAGTTTATTTCTCACTTTAGCTCGATTACCGCACTGATCACAGATTGCCTCACCGGCAAGTCATTCGTCTGGACCCTTGAGGCGGCCGCGGCTTTTACCCTCATTAAAGGAAAGCTGACTTCGGCACCCGTCCTTGTGTTGCCTGATTTTTCTAGACCATTCGAGCTCTCTTGTGATGCCTCCAAGGTAGGGATTGGCGCGGTCCTTAGCCAGGACAATCATCCAGTCTCGTTTTTTAGTGAGAAGTTGTCGAGTCCCCGCGTCCGGTACAATACCTATGATGTGGAATTCTATGCAGTGGTTCGTGCGGTTCGTCATTGGCGACATTATCTATTTCATCGTGAGTTTATCTTGTACACGGACCATGAGGCCCTGCGTCATTTGGCTACCCAGGACAATATTTCTGCCAGGCATGCGTCTTGGACGGCTTTCCTACAGCAGTTCACGTTTGTCCTGCGACATCGGTCTGGAGTTTCGAATAGGGTCACTGATGCCTTGAGCCGTCGCACTCTGCTGTTGACCGATATGCGAGTCAGTGTGGTGGGGTTTGTGCATGACGTTTACGCGGACGATGCTTTCTTTGGCCCGATTATGCGCCGTCTAGCGATTGGCCCGTTCGAGGACTACTCTTTGACGGACGGGTTTCTTTTTCGGGACATCCGCCTCTGCATTCCCGATTGCAGTCTCCGGTTGCGACTAATCGGCGAGCTGCATGGCGCTGGCCATGTGGGGCGGGATCGGTCCGTGGACTTGGTTAGTCGGTCTTATTTTTGGCCTTCCCTTCGGCGGGATGTTGCTCGTTTCGTGGGTCGTTGTCGTGTTTGCCATGTCTCAAAGAGCGTGGCCTCTAATGCCGGGCTGTACAGGCCGCTTCCTATTCCTTCCCAGCCATGGAGTGCCGTGAGTATGGATTTTGTGTTGGGTTTGCCACGTACACAGCATCGTTTTGACTCTATATTTGTCGTTGTTGACTGGTTTTCGAAGATGGTGCATTTCATCCCTTGTAAGCGCACCACTGATGCCCTTGACGTGGCCCTTTTGTTCTTTCGCGAAGTTTACCGTTTGCATGGTCTTCCATCTTCGATTGTCTCGGACCGTGACACACGATTATTGAGCCACTTCTGGCGTAGCTTGTGGCGTCTGGCGAACACGAGGTTGGATTTTAGCAGTGCGTATCATCCCTAGACAGATGGCCAGACGGAGGTGGTGAACAAGTCATTGGGGAACTTGCTTCGCTGCTTGGTAGGGGATAACCTGCGCAGTTGGGACCAACGGTTGAGCCAGGCCGAGTTCGCGCATAACTCGGCCGTGATCCGGCTACCGGATTTTTGCCATTCCAGGTCGTCTACGCCATGCAGCCGCGTGGCCCTTCCGAGTTGTTGGCGCTGCCTTCCACGGTGGCTGTTGAGCGTCGGGCGGCCGACCTTATTGCCGACTTGCAGGCCACGCATGCGGCAGCACATGCTCGTTTGGAAGCCACTACGACCGCTTATAAGGCCCGGGCTGACACTCGACGTCGTCACGTCAAGTTCGAGGTAGGTGACTTTGTTTGGGCCGTTTTGACTAAGGATAGGTTTACGGCCCATGAATACAATAAGTTATCTGCTCAGAAGCTTGGGCCGGTTGAAATAATTGAGAAAATTAACCCCAATGCTTATCGTCTGCGTCTGCTTTCTCATGTTCGTACTTCTGACGTTTTTAACGTCAAGCACTTAGTCCCATTCTTGGGCGACAATTCTGACGGAGACGAGACCGATCCGGATTCGAGGCCGAATCCTTCCCAACCGGGGGAGGATGATGGAGACGAGACCGCGATCGCTTTTCTGGACAGATATGACCGACTCCGGATTTAGCTAGCTTATTTTCAGTCTATGTTTTATTATGTTATTATTATTAGGATTATTAAAATAAATATCTTGTATCTGTTAGGCAAGACACTTGGTAGAATAGGACTCTTATTTTCATTTAATAACCCGTGGCTTGTACGAAAAAGAGGATCATGAAGTTTTTATCAGATTTGTGAGTTTTCTGTCGAGAGAGCATCTCGTATACATTCCCATTCGTATCACGTTCTACATCAGAGGGTCTTCATTTGAAAATCCCTCTGGTGTGAAAGTTTTTGCAGGTCTAAAGGACGTTCTGCCGGCGAGGAGCTCACAACAAGCCGCATTCCAGCCGATCGAGGTTCTTTTGTGTACCATTTGGCACCATCTGTGGGAATATGTTGAAAAACCATCGAAGCTTCTTCATCAATGGTGACAACCTTCAACGATGCGTGCCCGAACACGCGTCCGTTCGTAGCAGGCCCACCGCCAGGCTTTTCTAAACCTCTTCAAACCCCGGTGACCCTAACACCTTATCCTACAGGCTTATGGGACTCATCGGCGGTCCCAGTCGCAGTTGCAGGCCCGAGCAACCAGCCGGCGTTAGAGTATACTATAAAAACTCGACTTTCAGTTTTTCGACAATACAATTTGAATGAGAATTATGTTTTAGTCAAGTATTTGTGTTTGTGGCTTATTTATTTATGCGAGCATTAATTCCTTTATTTTACATTGTAGATAATATGGTTTGATGTGTCGAACAGAAAGAACATATTATTAATTCTTTGTAAAATATAAATAAAATAATTCACAGCCAAAAACTATATGTTGTGAAAAGCTCGCGCGTAATCTTGATTTATTTGCTCTTCGAATTGCACGTACACCATCACACACCCAAGCAGTACGCATACTCAAAAGGGAAAATTCGGATCTACCCGTGTGTAGTGCCCCCCATGAAATTTTAGCTTTCGAACTGCACACAATCACACTCAATCAGTACGAATGTCTATAGATCCAACAACAAAAACACCTGGTAGCATGTAAGGGTGAAATCATCCGCTCAAAAGTTACCAATCCTCTTTACATTAAATAAAATAAAAG